ATTGAATGGCACCCATACAACCTAAATTTGCATTTCAATGCACCTTTAAAAACGCTCAAAGTTGCAAAATCAACACTTCAGTTTTCAAATATTTACAGAGCGATACCTACGCAGTCTATTCTTGAATCAACTCACCCAACCCGCTTGTTGTTGATTTATGCATTCTCAAGATACAAAAAGTGGCATTTGTGCGGGCTCAACTTTGTTTTTCGGCAGTTACACAGCCGATGAGAAAATAAATTTCGGATGTTTTGTTTTGTTAAATAATTTTTCAACTAAAGTCATTTTGAAGTCGACTCGTGTACGTCCTCTGAAGGTTGAGTCCTGTTTTGAAGACGGATTTGCGGCTTTTTGCTCTTGCGGTCGTCCGAAATGAAACCGCAAAAAGGAGAAACTTAATTCAGGATTGATTCTGACGAAAACCTCGGTCTGATTAAATTCAATTTGTTTAATTCAGAGCTCTGCTGGAAGACGGCGAGAGTCTAAAAATGACTACCCACTTAACCTGGCAGTTGTAATTTGCATGTTTTTTAAATTTTGCCGCTTATCGTTAAAATGACAGTTACTACAAATCACGAAATCGTATGCGAGGCCAACTTGATAATTTGATTAGAATAGCCGTTTCGTTCAGGTGGTAAAAGTCAACTGTTTGTAAACAGTTTGGACAAATTGTCTTACATTGTTAGAGTTTGTTAAGGATGAGTTTGCAGTAATTAACGCTTTTACCGTGAAGATTTTTTGACATTTCATCGTTTTTAACCGCAGTAAAGCGTTCTGTTGAAAGCCTGTTCGACGAAAAATAATAAATATCCATTGCTTTGTCCAATAGCAAACGAAAACGAAAGAGTTTTTTTTTACGTGTAAAAAGACTCAATCGTTCATTTACAATACAAAAAACTGGATGTCTAACTTCGCAGTGTTGATAAATATCGTGTTATAAAAATAACTGTAAAGTGAAGACTTCCCCGGCTGCTGCTAAGGACGTTCATCGTGAATTTGTAAGTATCGTCTAATATGTTGTATATCAAAAAAATTACTTTTGACAAAAATTTTTTAATAAACTGTCGAAAATCAAAAAAATTAAAAAATATTCAACAATAACGGACAACCACATTTTTTAAAATGTTAGGTTATATATAGTTAGAAAAAATCCAAGTTTGAAGATCAAAATGAATTTCATCTTACGTCAAGACCATTAAAATACCTCCAAATCTGAGATTTATTAGACAATAAAATGCAGTGAATTTTTAGCAGTTTAATAATGACTTGTCCTAGGGCTTCGGTTTTACGTAATTTCCATGCCGGTCCGTCTTGATTTTTACTTCCCGAGCGAAAGTATTGTAATAGAGCTCATCTGACCAATGGCTATTTCATGTTTCCACGACGTTTCATAACCCCTTATCCCGTTTCCGTTAGTCGTCTGTCCGCCGTCTGGGTCGATATTTATTAGTCCGATGATTTGCGAAACTACAGGAGCGATTGCTGTCAAATTGTATGTGTGTTATGATTATCTTGTAGATGGTAAAACGTAAACGAAACTTTGTCTTGTGATCCCCACCAACAAGCTGATGACGTCATGTCCGAAATTTACAATAGTAAATATTAGTGAGTCCGTGCTTCGTTTTTACCCTAAATATCCAGATTTTTGGAAAACAGATCAAAAGTGCAAATTTTTCATTTGAAAAAATAGATCTCCTGTTTACTTCTGTCTATCTGCCTGTCTCTCTGTCTGCTGCCATCTGTCCGGTTTTTTATTAGACAGATAATATTCTAAACTACTGGATCGATTGCTGTCCTCCTAAATTTTGTATAATAAACACAACTTAAATTTCATAAAATGGTATATTCCTATACTTGTGGTTATTGTTCAACCCTTTTTGGTCTTTAGTTACATAATACGTAACCACGCAAACCAAGCTAACGGTCCTATTTCACCCAAATTTTTCGAAAATGAAAAATGAAGTACTGTTGCCCCGCCCATGTTTAATAATAATAAAATTATAATTATAATCATTGCTTCATTGTAGCTTAATTATTTACCATTTTACGCCATTGTAGCTTAATTAATTAATCAATCCTCTCCTCGGTTTTCAGGAAACAAAATTAATCAACTTTTATTTTCTTTTTATACAAATGCATACGGCCGCTAATGCTTGGTATCTGAAGGTGCCAATCGTCGAGTTCTTTGGAAGTATGAACATAAACATACGAAGTTAAATATGTTATTATTATTCACAGGTCATTTTTCATAATTCATGGCTCACTAGTTTTTACTTTGTAGAAATTATCACAAAACAAAAATTGCAAAATCAAATTTTATAATTTTTCAAAGAAGCGGAATTTCTTGGACTATACTTGAGGCGCGAAGACAGTTCTGTCGAATAAACTTGGATCAAGTTTTTTTTAACTTTTTGGGGTTATCATAAAAAATAAAAATCGCGAAATTAAATTTTATAATTTTTCCAAGAATCTGTATTTATTTGCCTGTATTTTAGACGCGAGAGAAGTTCTGTTTAAAGAAATTAAACTATTTTTTTTTTAATGTAAAAGTTAGTGTATTTTTACTTTTTACAAACATATTTTAAAGTTGAGAATGAAAGTTCCTTTAAGGCAAAAAAATCAAGGTGGATTCGTAAACCACAAGTACAGGAGTAGGTACATTATTTTACAAAATTTATGTAGCATTTACCAAGCAAAATTTTGAGGTGGTGAGGCTTTAAATTGCTGGTGGGGAAGATCAGCCAAATTTTGATTAGAATTATAACATAGACACGATATTCCCAAAACATTTTTAAAATTTGACTACCATCGGTTCGGTAGGGGTAGAAAAGGGGAGACCTATTTTTCATACTCAGGGTTCATGAAACCTCAAAAAAACATAAAATTAGCCGTTCGGAGAATGGATCCTATTACAATACTTCCTTAGCTTACGCTTCGAAAGTAAAAATGAGCAATAAATAGAAACTATGCTTGACCGCTGTGCATTTCCACGGTTCGGACGATTTTAATTTAATTTAGTGGATCAATTTAATTTGTAAAATTAACTAGGCATGGAAAATATTTTTGAAAATTTAATAAAGAAACATCAACTGACCTTTTTAAGGTTTTATCTTAAATTATTGTTTATATGTTCGCCAGATTAGTAAAACGTTAATGGGTTCAGAAATAACGTTTTAGCTCTATATATATATATCCCTGTGCCGTTGGTTAAATACCGGGTGACTATTAATGGTTGGAGCAAATTTTTTGGTTGGTGATTCTGAATTATTGGCAGCAATGTTAGTATATTAGTCACAGTTGTCAATTTTGACGTAAGCGCGCCTAAAAAAACCAATGAGAAGATGGCATCTAGTGAATTGGTGTCGAAAATTTCAAATTGATGTCAAGTATGCCATCATAAAGTTTTAAATATGTTGCCAACCTGACAAAAAATCAAAATCATTAATAGTCGTTCAGAATTTATAGAACCAGTAACATTATAATTTGTTATTAATTAACAAGAAAGTAGTCTTTGATACTTATCGACTATTTTGAAAGAAGACAAAAGCTTATCATATTTTTTGTATATAAATATGCAGGTATATAATATAATGTATATTCAGCCTCACCACAGGTTACCATTCAAATTAAGCAAGTATTGTTGGTTGCCTACCAAATTAATGTGATTTTAACAAAAAAGTCAGAATGAATTAATTATACATTTGTGTTTTTTTTTGTTCAACAGGTGTTTGTAACTTTAAGTCACTGTCTTTCATTAATAAAATTTGTAGACACTGGCATAATCCTTGAACGCGAATAAATTTAATAACATAAAAAATGACTTAATAAGCCATATAATGGATAATTTATGTCAATACGTAAAAATCCATATTATTAGCCGTTTATAAAAACTAAATAACGATTCATTTCGCCTCGAGCAAATTCATCTTCAAACTCACCGTAACATTTTACTAACACGGACATTTATGTAAACTATTCCTCCAAAAAAGCTGAGCCTCCAAGACAGACCGCATTGGAAACTGTAGCTAATTGATAAACGCTGCAGCAAAAGATGTTGGAAAAAATGTTTGATTTATATCCGTGAATATATACAACAGGGGCAGTTAACCTTTATCAAGGACGTAGAGCATTTTATCGCGAGTAATTGTACGGTAAATTCTCTTTAACTCGCGCAAATGTAAGACTTTACGATGATTTATGGAGTTAAAGACGAACATGTTGTTAAACCGAGTATAATTTGCCAATTATCACATCACATTTCTGTTTTAATTGAAGACTTGCTGAAAAACTGGACTAGTTCCGAACGGCTGGGACGCCGTATGGCACCTTTTTCTATTGTATTTGATATACAGTTGTAAGTTGCAGGAAAATAACTTCACCTTTTAAAGGTGCGTTAATGGGTTGGTTGTACACAAAAAAACAACAAAAGTACTGCAAATAGACACACTGTATGGTAATAAAAATAAGAAACGATGGTATTTTTATTATCTATTATATCGGCTCTCACAAAGGCCGATTATTCAAAGACCATAAATATCTGCGATTGTCTTCTTGCGAACTGAATAGCCTGGTACCGTAATATCGTTGAAGATGTTGAAGATATTATCAATTATAGAGTACATAGTTACTTATAGGTACACGATTTTATGATATACAGAGTGTCAGGGAAATACGAATAAGGTATACCGTCCCATAAAGATGTAGCAGGCGGCGGTAAATGCGATCTTTGGTTTTTAAAGAAATAAAAAGAAACGAAAATACGGTTCACACGAAAAGAATAAGGTGTGGGAACAAATTCATCCCTGATTTCTTCTACAAATAACACAAGTGTTTAAGCCATTTAGAGCATACGTGCTAAACATGATTTTAAAACAGATAAACACAAGACAAATTGTCAAAATGTACACACAGCCAGACGGATAAAGTTTAAGAATAAATATTTAATATTAAATTGCTAAAGTGGAAGGAAACTAGAACATGTGGGAAGAATAGTGACTTACCTTCGTCTGCTGGGTGGCGGTGTGACTTGACGGTCATTAAAGGAGTGTCTCCTGTAGTCCTTGCGTTTTTTCCTCTTGTCCTTTCCTTCGCTCTGGTAAATAGGATCCTGGCGGCTGATTGCAACAACAGTAGACGGTTCTTTCGTTATGGTGGTGTTCCAGTGAAGAGAGCGAAGCTCGCGAAACCATTTTATTAACAATCCGCGCGTGAAATTTGCCGGTTTGTCTGCGTTGTTTCTGCAAAAATTTACGGAATTTTAAGTAATTTTCTTTGTTGATGCAGTTAACCTTACTGTGTGTTAAAGCTTTTTATTACACCCGATATACTTTTATATTTACTACTATGAATAGTAGAATATGTCTTGATTGATGTACCATAACTTATTTGTTTCTTTGCTCTTACATGCATTTTTTGTCAAAAGGTGCGAATTTTGTAATGGAGTAACGTTCTTGTCGTTAGCTTTAATTAAATTTCCTGGAACTACGTTTATATCTACTGGTCGTGGTGCGATAAGTTTATATTTTGCGATTATCCACATGCATTATTTTGTCAGGTCATGTACCTTTCTCATCTGCAGTGGCGTTATTTTTGGAAAGAGACCAAACTTTAAAATGATTGTTGGAAGGCCACGATACAAGATAAAAAAGACATTTCCTTTTTATTTTATGCTTCAATAATAACGAGAAATCCGAAACAGCTTTCGATGACAGGTCGTGAAAGAATTTTTTACTTTTTCCTGCTGGACTTAATCGTTCGATATACAGGATGCAGAGGATTATTTATTATATAATCGTTTGCATAAAGAAACGAATTTAAAACGTTTAAGAAGTTAGCTAGCGACTAAAATAAACAACATTACTGCGAAGTTGGGGATTTTTGGCTCCGTGTTTACGGACTGGTTAAAAAATATACGGTGTGTTGGAGCAACGGTTCTTTATTTTTGTGTGTACCGTAGCTGATGCTATCAATGCGGCTATTTGTGATTTTATGTAGATCGACATGGGGATCCTCATTATGTCACCTGAAATTATGTTCAATCTTCAGAATGGTTTCAAGTGTAAAGATTGGTATGTTTGATATTTTTTAAGAACATTGCGTTAGTATTTAACGAATTAATTAAAAAGAATCACCCGTGTCGCCATTAAAAACGCAAAGCCGCCTGACCACCTGGACTTTACTACAAACATAATTGCATGACACTGTGGTTATAAACTCATTTGAATTCTCCGGCCAAATTTATGATAATTTGCAAATTTGCAAATTATAGAAATTCGTACTGGCGGGTGTTGTGGAATTCAGAAGAAGAAATTAATTACAAAATAAGTAATTCCCATTAATAGCTACTACTAATTAGGGTCACCACGGGGGCAAGGCAAACGTAGTTTTTCGAAAATAATTTCTTTCATACTGAAACTTTATGGCTGTCAAGCTGTATACTTTAGCACTTGAAATATGCGCCGTTTGATTTCTTATTAATATCTTGCGACTAATGTAATGCGAGGCAATAAAATTTTTTCAGGGATTCTAACACTTAAAGATGTTTGGTATATTTACCTCATAACTTCTTTTATATCTTTACTATAAAAACGAAAATATATACTCCATGTTATTGGTTAAAAAATACGTTGTATATTAGGCAATAAAAATTTGAACATAAAATCTCAAATATTTTACACTTATTTTCAAACGTAGATGTAAGGAAAGGATTCAATTCATATTGCAATGTTATTATAATACTTTTCTAGCCTTTGAGGCATAATGAATATTGCATGCACGTCAAGAGCTATTCATTTAATAATTTTTTGAGATTACATCATTAACTTTTTTGATTGGGATAACTACTTATGTGCTAATTATAACATCATTCCAGATTTTTAGCAAAACTAATAACTTTTTCCTGAACCAGTCGGTAAAATTAATCAGTTGATACACTTTTTTAAGGAGTACATTAAAAAAAAATCTGAATGTCTAGGATAAAAAATTAAGACGGATTCAAGAACCACAAATGTAGGAGTATGTTTTCTTTATAAAACTGAAAGACAATTTACATTTTGATTAGCGTTTTACCATACCTATACACGATATGTAATGTCGATTGTATGATAAAAATCGATACACAGAAGACAGTTAGACGGAAAAGCGAGACCTACTTTTTCATACTGCAGGGGTCATGAAATGTAGAGAAAATGTGAAAATATCCGGATGAAGTGTATTATAATATTTCCTTAGTTTACGCTTGGGAAGTAATAATGATTCAATATTAAATCACGCACAAAGAAGCATGTCATATTGCACAAATGAAGGTCGAGTGTTGACGAATTTTTGGAGGGGGCGAATAAATATATTTTGGCCACAAGATCTACGATTTTTACACTAATTTTGGCGTACACTAAGATTTTTGTTTAATTTCGAAATTCATTTTGTTCTTTAATTTCGTACTAAATAGTTCTTTTCCATCAGAAACAATTGATTATACAGTCACCTTGCATTATATGTACGTACACATTATTTTCTTAATATTTTCTTCAAAGTTTCTATAGAAAATTATACTGTTTATCACTACCAAAATGACAGGCTTTGCTAGTAATAGTCAGTGAAGTCTAAGCACCACTGGAACGGTTAGTTATTTTCAATTCTTTTTTTTGTCGTGGTTGCAAAAATTATACACAATAATAGCTAGTAAAATTATACAGGAAATTAAAGTACGATTTTTTCCAAGTAATGAGGAACAATACATTACTTTAATGCATGATGTCTGTACCTAGAAAAATGGGAGGTGAACGGAACGTGGTAACTGGATGAAGTAGTGGTCCTACCAACGATAAATACAATTTGAATTTAAAAGTAAGCAGACATTAAAATATTGTGAAACTGTAAGATGCTGCACTCGTGCGTTATACAGGTAGATAAAAAAATTGGTCTATTCTATTTCGACAGAACTTCCTCGTGTCTGAATTACAGTCCAACAGATCCCGCTTGTGTGAAAAATTTAATTTTGCAATTTTTGTTTTATGATAATCTCTTATAAAGTAAAAACGAGCGTCGTAAGTGGCATGCCCGTAGCCCCTGGACCGTAGGGGTTCAAATTCCAGAGGAGCGCGGTCCGTACAAGTACAGATAATATAAAATATATTTAAAACAGATAACCAACGTCAAAATTTGCCTCTCAGTATCAATAGCATGCTGAACTTGGAGTGTTTACTTCCAAAGAACTGGATGACTAATTAGCAGCTTCAGATACCAAGATCAGCGGCCGTATGCATTTGACATAAATGTAAGAATATGAAGACTGCTTTATTAATAGCTACAATGGAGCAAAACGGACCAAATATTATTTTCGGTGAGAAGATGTTATAATTATTTAATAATTAATAATTATTATTTTATTATTATTATTAAATATAGGAGCAAGCGACATTACTGTTTTCTTACATTTTCGAGAAAATGGTTGAAAAATTTTTGAAAATGTCAAAATCAATCATTTCTTATAAAATGCTTGCCCCGCCCACTCACCCTTATTTTCTTGGAAGATATGCCGTCTGCCAAAAACAGTCTTATCTTATTAAGTACTAGCCCCGCCCACCCCCAGTCTCGTCATTCTAAAAACTAATTTTATTTCTGCTCAGAATAAGATCGTTCATTACATTCAGACCGGATAAAATTAATCACTGAAATGAAGGCAGGGTGGGTGGGCGGGGCTAATTATTTCCTTCTATGGAGTGGGAATGGAAACTAATAGAATCTAGGATGTGCAAAAAGTAAAAAAAACGCTAATCCTAAATTTTTTGTTTTACTATTTGCTACTGGAACTATACAAAATGCTATATTTCAGTTAACGATTTTGGAAGAACGATTGAAATGTTCGAAGACACGAAGCCGAAAATGATATCTGGATGTGTAAGTCTATAAGAAAATGGCAAGCTAATTTTCGAAAATGGTTGAAAAATCATTCTCGATCTGATAAAAAAAATTACAATAAAAACGCTGTGGGTTCGCACCGCTGACCATTCATCTATAAGCCATTAGGTTTAAATCAATAACAATTATAATAATAATAATAAACAAAAACAATGCGGATTCATAAAGTACAAGTGTAGAAGAGGTATACTATTTTATGAAATTTAATTCAAAATTTATGTTTAGTGTACAAAATTTTGATGATTAGACAAATTTTGGTTAGTGATTTACTGTCTGCATGAAACTTCTAATATAACAGATAAAATTTCACAACAATCGATTCAATAGTTTTGGAGATTTACTGCCTAATAAAAATCCGGACAATCACCAGACAGACAGACGGAAACGGGGAACCCATTTTTTCGTACTCTAGGGGTCATGACCCTATGAGAAAATTTGGACTCAGTTACATGGGTATTTAGGTTACGCTCGGTATGTAAAAATGTGAAAAATTAGCCACTAGTGTCAGATTCACTCTGAATATTTTTTTTTTGTATATGTATTATAAAATGAAGGAAACGATGGATAATAAATTCCGATCAATTTCATATATCCAACACTAAATAGTAAATTAAAATATGGTGAAATATGAAAATTAAAATTAAACTTTGAAGGGCTATGCCTTAACGAATTTCTTGAATCTACAAAGGTCAGAATGTGGAAAATAGACCCAGCTGTCTCCTTTTCTCAAAATAAGTCGATTCTGTATATCACTAATGCGTCGTGATCAGTACGCGGGAATTTATCTCACCGCTGCAATCCCCCAGTTGAAGTAGTGTGTTTTACGCCGAGTAACGGGGACGCCTTGATCTGGTCCACAAGGTCGTAGCCAGTGCGTCGCTAGTAGTGTTTACAGCTAGTAAAAAAAACTACTTCTATATTACTATATTACTTCAAATAACAATACTTGATGCCCTTTTCAATTTTTCAACCACAGGACCACAGATTTGTGATCTTGAAATATTATATTACGTTGAAATAGTCCAAAAGAAAAATATATTTGTAATGAAACTATCGCCGCGATAGCACTGGTTCTAGCGTATGAGATACAATTCCGCGCGTTGGTCATGATGCTCAGAATAGCCAGAACTAGAGACCCTAGATATACTTTGGAAAAGAGTTGTGACACGAAACGTCAAAATTAATGGTAAATTTTATTTTACTATGCTGGCTACAGATGCTTTTTTTTAGTCATGTTTTGACAATTTGTAATTGTCATTTAGTACATAGACGTGGAAGAGAATAGTCGTCGTCTGTTGTGTACGAAACTGTAGAAATA